AGAGATGCTGTACTTAATGAGATAGATTTTTTCTTTCTGCTGGGTACTCTTGCTGTATCATTCTAGAAAGGACAGTATTGTGTAGCTTTGTTAATTTTTGTTATCAGTGTACTTAGATGAGCTTTACAAGATGTTGAGGACACTCACAGGATCTTCATAAGACAGGCATGACCACGTACATACTAGAACCTCTGAAAAAAATTTAATTCCATTTCAATTAAAATACAGCAGCCCCCCTCAAAAAGTTACCCAAATTACGAGCTAAAATGCAGCTTACTTCTCAATGAAAATTTTACATAGCCTTATAATGGAAAGCAAAGTATCACTTGTCATTACTCAGATAAATTCAGCCCTCAGCAAGAAAACAATTATGATAGATGGGCCTATTACAGCATAAAAATTATCAAGAGTGATTCTGGCACCACAAAAAAAAAATAAAATAAAAACTTGTGGTGACAGTAGAAAGTATCAGCCTTCCCACTCAAGAAGCAGAATGCCTCCATTAACCCAACAGTTCACATTGCCATGGCCGAGTGGGAAGACTTGGATCAGCCTGAAGGGATTGCACAAAGCCAAACTGATGACTGCAGGCACTGACACAACTCAAGGCAGAAATCAGGATGAGGTCAAAGTTCTGAGTCACACTCCTGATCTCTCTCCCTTACTGGTATGGGGCAGGGAAGGGGAAGGGGAGGGGGAAGGCAAAACAGGAAAAAGCCACCAGACATGGATTATTGTTCTGAAGGGAACTAAAAATGTAAAAGGAAAATTCATGTTTAAAATAGCTAAGAAAAATGGCTATGCAAAGGCTTCTGAGATACATCAGCACATAAATGAATACTAGCACTGAAGAAGACAAAGTTGCTAAAGAGAGGCAAACAACTGTAAGTTCAATAATATTGAACTGTAAGTTCAAAATATTGCTTATCTGTATTAGGTATTGTAGATAACTTTGTGCTGCAAGAGTATAATGAAATACTTCCAATAGACTTATGACTAAAACAGATACTAAAGATAACTGTTATGATGTCATAAGGAAAAACATAACCACAAGGTCTATGGAACAATGCAAGAGAACTTCCTTAGGATATCAGTACGACCCTGATGTCTGTTTCTGATTCATGTGGAAATAACTAGAAAGTTTCTCTGGAGTAAATGTCCAGATATAAAAAAAGTAACAACTAATAATTGCAGGAGAGTTAGAACACTTTTAACTGTGGATCAAACATAAAAAAAAAGAGGTTAATTAATGAAGTATTAATTCACTTCACAGTAAGAAGTATAATTAAAAGGAGAGCAATATCATTAACTGTTTTATAGAAAAGCTCCTCTATTAAACCACCCTGGGGTTTGTCCTTTGCAAGAGTAACTGCAGTAACAAACTATTGCAGCTTTTATAAGGCTCTTCGCCCAAACCAGATGACATTCTAGACAAAATAAAGATAACAGTGAAGAATGTATCCTGTGAATTACAGATGAGTTAAGTGAAAGACCTCATATTTAGCAGTTACATCTGTACTAGTTCTGAAGTAATTTCACATTGTTCTCAGTGAGGTAACAGTCACACTTCTGTCAGTGCTGGTGGAACAGCAAGTCATGGTGGGAATTGAGTGATCCAGATCTCTTGATCCACTGCACTGATTTCTTTAGAGCATATTTTCATCCATATATTATAAATGGAATAACTGTTTGCAGAAAGCATGTATGTAAGTCGCAGGTAAAAGAAAATTATTTATGCTCAAACTGAAAAAGCTTCATCTTTTCAATCCCTTAAAGAGGCTTCGTTTGATTGCAGCATCAAATGCATACAAGAGGCCATACTGAAAGGTCTTTCATCTTGAGAATAAAGAAATGAAAAGACACTAATGTTTAGAAATTAAACTTGAATGGAACAAATTGGAATTTACCTAATACTGAAGGCAATAGACTCTGAAACAAATACAGACCATACCCTCATCTCTTGAGTTTTCAGATCAAAATTATATACCTCTGTACTCTTGGGTACAAATCATGAGTTGGGGGGTGTTATATATATGAATTGCAGTTTCTATAGCCTGACCACTAACAGAAACTTTTGTCTCATTTTGATTTAACAGTTCAGAAAGACAAATGTCACTTTGCAACAGGGCAACGTTTTTTGAGGACAAATGCATGGTTTTCCTCTACAAATATTTCTTTCTTCAGCTTTACTTATCCAATAGTTAACCCATCCTCATGCAAACACACGTGAAAACAATATACCATTCCTCCAGATATTTGTACTGCTTCAAGGGAGCTAGCATGCAATAATTCTTCCTTTAGAATTCAAACCCTTCTGTTCTGCATTACAACCGAGCACATGCAGTCAGTTTTGTGTGACAAGTCTATCACTTAAAATATGTTAAAATTTTTGCTTGCTTGTTGCTATGGCAGAATGCAGAACTGATCACCTTTCAGGGAAAAGAAAGTTAATTATTTTTTTACATCCTCCAAATAACAGCCTCACTGGCTTACTACCAAGAGCTCTATTCCCTCAGAACAGCCTTTGTGCTGTCAGTAGGTCTTGGCCCTTTTTTAAAGCAGTGGAACATAGTCCTAGATGTCACAGATATTACAGTACATTCACTTACAGCTTGAGTATTTTATTTGCTTCAGCGGGTTTTCTTCAAGCTCCCCAGTCTCCTTCACCTGCCTGTAACTGCAATATATGAAATTGAACTTGCATTACATAAACAAGAATATCCCATTCAGTGATAAAGAGCAAACTTGCAGAGAGCATAGGATACTTGAGACATGGTATTATATGATGTGTGTACTATCCCATTGATTGTGGCAGGATAAGAAGCAACAGAATTCACCACAGCTGGATTAATCCAGTCTTTGCTCATACACTGAGACACACCAGCCAAGACAAGAACACCTGAAAAACTTGCTGAACCCTACCTCACGTCAAGCCACACAAACTATCTGGAAATCAAACCGTGTGTCCCAAGCCACCTTTAATCCCACTTTGACTGCAAAATCCACTGTTAAGATAAAAGCTCCATACTACATCTTTTCATGTATGCAGTTAATATAACATGCAACAAGGCCAGTTATCAAATGAAATTTAATCAAACAGGGCATCTCAACCTTAGCAGATTTAATATTTTGTTCGGTTACTGACAAACATGCCTAATAGGTCCCTTAGGTGTCCTAAAGATATTCAATGCAAGTAATTCTATTAGAAGCAAAAAAGCATTACTTTGTCCCTAAGAAAAGAATAAGCCCATGTTGTGAAAACTGACTTTCAATCGTGTATAATAAAAAGACAAGACCTTTATTACCCATGTGTTAAAGTAACCCAGAAACTTATTTATTGGAGCAATAGATTAGAAACACTACAAATTTTATTTGGGTTAAACAAATACCACTAGACAAGCCTGCCCTCCAAGGTATTAAGGGAAACAGCAAGAAAAAGATGTGGCTTACTTCTAACACACACACAAAAAATAAAAACACCAAAACAAAACCAAAGCTCTTTGTGAACTGGAGCTCTCCACTTTCCAGCTTGCCCCTTCCTTCGCTGTATGTAAAATACCATGTTATTGACATTGTACAAGTTTGGGATTTTTTGCCAACATACTAATACTACACAAAGCTTTCTTTCATCAAGTGTTCAACTGTGCTGAAACACCAGGCTACCAAAAAACCAGTAGTGCTAGACATTATGCAGCCTTCTACAGTCCGATTACAAACCACTACTTCTTACAGTAGGAATCACAATATCCACATATGGAATCCTTCACTGGAGTATCAGTACTAAGAGTCGCAACATAAACAAGCAACACAAAGTTTCAATTATTACATCAAATTCACTGTAGTTGATCCCTTTACTTACTTAAACTTGTACCCAACTGGTATTTGAGACACTGGTGAAGTAAGAAGGAACTCCACACCAGAAATGGCAGGTTTTTACCTCCTAGAAGAGTCAAGGTAGCTACACAACTGCATCTTCCTAGTTGGTTTTAAGCTGGAGTTTTAAAAGCAAACTCAATTTCCCAGTGAACTCAAGCATGTTTTGCAATAGATCAAGCGTTAGAAGTGCATTTCCACTTCCATTCAGTTTGATAAAGCACACACTGAAAAACAACCCACGCAGCTCTACACAGACAGTTCAGCTCAACTCAGGACGCACAGCCACCACCTTTACCAAAACCAAGCTTTTTGTGGGAATCCAAAATAAAGATGAATATTAAGAGCTACCCCTTTCTGTGACAATTAAAAATACCTAGAGTAAGCTTTGAGAGCAATGTAAAAAGCCAGGGGGACAACACAATAAACATCAACAAGCCAAAAGCAGTTGGGCAAGTCTTTATTGTTCTACTCCAATAACTAGAAAAAGCAAGACAAACTAATTCCCCACTTCTTTTTGTCAAAATGTCAGGACATGATAGAATCCAGCCCTCAAATAAATGCATGCTTTGGAAAAGGAAAAAATAAAAGTTATTTTGTGACTTTTGCCTTGCAGCCAAACTTGAATGACCCTGAGAGAAGTCTGCAGGCAAATCACTGATGAGATTTATGCGCAGCTTGTTAGATGTGCTTCCCACCCCTCTTTTGTGTTATTGGTCAAATAATTCAGGAATGTTTTAACTAATCTTGACTAAAATCCATCATAAAGAATGCTACAATATTGCTTTTTATTACAAATAGCCAAAAGTTGTTTGAAAATATAAATGTGTAAAGCGGTCAACTGTACAGTGCATTTACAGTACACAGTCCAGAAAGTAACATGCAGTGAAAAGAACTGCTTTATACATTAGCCCTTGGCCACAAAGAACTTGGCAGTACTACAGCTTTAACGACTATAGGGTGAAAGAACTGAAGAAAAAAACAGAAAAAAACAAGAACAAGTGAACAAACCCCCTCACCCCCTAAAAAAAAAAAAAACCCAACACACACAAAAAAAAAAAAATCAACCAAGCTACCAAAACAAAAACAACCCACAGAAAACAACAACAAAACCAAACCACACTCACTTACATCTAAGTTTAACATGAGATTGGGATGCATACATCATTGTACAAGGAACAGTCATTTTTAACTAGATACTGTCATCATGTAATTCTCGGAAGGGCTGGACCTGCCAATTCTCCATTCTTCCTTACAGCTGGTCCTATTCGCCAGCGGTTTGGTTGCCTTCCCACCAGACTGGGGACTTTCGTAAAGGACACAAATAGACCCATCCTCACCAATGCGATAGGACACCTCGGAAGGGTCGACCCAAAGAGTCAGTTCGCTGGGTAAAAGCTGGAAGAGTTTCTCGTGGCTCAGTCCAATCATCCCCGCTGCCTTTCCTATCAAGGGGTCCATCTTATGGTTGATCCTAATGCACCGGTATCCGGAGCCCTTGGAGGGCACCAGGGGGAACCAATGGTGTTTATAGTGCTCTGCAGGAGGGAACAAAGAGCAGCTTTACGGCGGCCCCAGAGCCCCCACCGCTCTTCAGCCCCGCGGTGCCTGCGCTCCGCCGGACCCCCCCTGCGGAGCACAGAAGAGGGCAGCCGTACCGGCCGCCCCAAGAGAGCCCCTTCACCCACCACCCCCGGCGGGGTCCGTGGCCCCGCTCACCGCGCAGCGCCTCCTGCAAGCACCCACGGAAGCACCGCAGCTGCTCCTCGCCGATACCGCCCGCTGCCCGCAGGAGGCGGGTGATGAACGCCGCCGCCGTGGAGATCTCGGTCCTCATGGCCACCCAGGCTGGCGCGCACGGCCCTGCCGCCACCCCTGCCCGCTGCCAGCACCGCCGCTAGTGCCCCGGGCACGCCCCCGAGCCTCCAGCCAATGCCGGAGCCGCGCAACAGCCGCATCACACGACGGAGCCCCGCCCCTCAAGGGCAGGCCGCCACCCCATTGGCGGAGGCGGGGCGCCCTCGGCCACCACGCTCGGCCATTGGTCTGCCGCGCGGGCCGGGCTGTGTTTTGCTGTCCGAGGGGCCGGGCCTGCCCCGCTTCGGGATCGGTAGCGCCCCTTAGGCAGCGGAGCTGCGCTGGGAGCCTGCTTTGCTCCGGCGCCGCTTCGGCTCCTGGGAATTCGGCACACTTGAAAACGTCTGCGAGAGTTAAGCTAACAGTTATGCTCGTGAACGGCACAAAGTTGTTGTTGAGTGTATGACGGTGAAGGGATACATCTGTGGCTTGTATTTTGAGTACTATACTGCATGTTTTAATTGCGATACCAGTCGGGAAAGATTTGGGGATTTAGATACAAACACAAACCTAATGCTTATCTGTGCGTAAGATCAGCCATACATACACTGCCCTAAGTACCAGGCTTCTCCACCTGCAGGTCACACCACAGCAACCACCGAGAGGAACAATCTGTTAGACCTTTGCATTCCTTTGCACTGGCTTTTTTATGGGGCATAAAAATTTGAGCCATGGAAATGTTTGGCTGAACAGTTTGTGTCAGATTACTGTGGAGTAAAGTACATGGCTTGTTTGAGACAGAGAACTTTAGTGACAACTCAGCATCACTGCTGAGGGCTCCAAGTTTGAGGAACAACTACAGTTCATCTCATTACAATAGAAAAGTTTTGTTTTCAGGCCAGTTATCCTGGGAAGTCTCTTTACTCAAGAGCTCCAAACCAGTAGTTCTGGGAGCACCCCACCAGCCTCACTTCCTCCACACAACTTGCCAAGCAGCAGCTGAGTTCCACAACACATCCAGAGACATGGATGGATTCAGTTGGGACCCTGCCCCCTTTAGTGCAGCGACGATATTCTTAAACTAGTTTAAAGCTTTTAAACAGCTCACGGTATAGCCAGGATTCCCCAAATTCACAAAAAGCTTCCCCTCTAGTCCAAGCACTAGCCACAAACTTTCTCCCCCCCATCTTCAAGTCCCATTCACAAGCCATTCCTCCAAATCAGTGCTTTCAAGAGTACTGTCTAAGGTCAGTCCACCGTTGCCAGGGCTGTCTGCAGCTGTAACTAATAATCACAGCTCTCAGAGAGCAGTCTTCTCTCAGAAGTTTGTGCAATGCCAGAACCATATCCCCCCCCCCCCCCGCCTTAAATACATCCACTCCCTTCATTGGCTTTGTGTCTTAACCCCCCTTTGGAAAAAGGGTGTTGATTTCTTTACACTGTTGGTTAAGTTCTCAGGCTTTACATTCTCCTTTGTTAAAAAGCAAACTAACCCCTCCTTTATTCTTCTCCAAGGCCTGCCACATGCCACAGGACTTTTCTTCAGAAAAGATCTCACCTCTGAGGAAACTAACATCTTGTTTTCCCAACTGCACACCTGAATCCTTGTCTGCCAGCTGTAAGAATCTGACATCACCTCCAGTTCATCAGCTGCAAAAGCCATACCCAGGGAGTTAAGAGGAGAAAAGCCTTGTCTGCAAACCTTTAAAAGTTAAATCCAGTTCTACCAGTTCTCCATAATAATACATTCATCAATAGAAGTGTGACCAAGACAACTCAAACTAGTGTTTTAAATGTTACTAGCAACCAGTATAACATGGGCTGTGAATTTACAGGTGCTTTCCCCAAACCTCTGTCCCTTTAATCTAAGGGTTAGAAATCATCAAGGCTGTAATTACAGAAGAGCTCATCACAGAGCCAAACCTCATCCCGGACAGGAAGGGTTCCCAGGGGAATGCCTGGTTACCTGCAACAGCAGGACAGACCAGTTTGTTCATTAAGCTACTAGCAAATTACTATTCAATTCCAGCAGTTTAATTTTGCTAGATTCTGAAATTCTATTATGTTGAAACAGTCAAAGAAAAGTGTCATTACATTTACAGTTACAACTTTTTCAGACTCATTCTGCTTGTAGCAAACTTAATTCAAGAACACCAGTTCCCATCCAATTCAGACAAGTTTTTATATTAACAATACGACAGCATTAGAACTCACATAGTGCCTCCTCACTTGTAACTCAAGACATTCAAGATTTCTTACCCTTCATTTTCCCCAATAGCACTAAGAATGGTAAAAATCCAGATGTACATTATTAAGCATGATGCTTAATTATGCTAAAGACCTTCCCCCTTCCAGGATCCCTGGACTTATCGGAATATATGCACAAATTCCCAATTATATGCAGTCTAATTTTACTCCAGGTCACTCAAACAAGGTTCTGTCAAAGCAAGGACAGATATTAAGGGAACTGGTTTTAACTCACTTGTGAGAAACTTAAGTAGAGACCAGAGTGGAAAAGCTTTCTAAGCAAGCAAATGGAAGCTAGCTAAAAATACTACAAGAGTGAAGAGTTAATGTTATATCACTGCTAACACAGACTAATGCTCACTAGATATAGCTCCTGCACCTGGATCCACTAGTCCAGAGTGGAACATTCAATTGAAGGAAGAAGGTAAGCAGGTCTGGCAGTACAAATAAAAAGGTGCTGCAGTAACCAGGTAACATTAAAGTCACACTTTGATTTCTTGTATTCTCACATTTAAGCCTCAAGGCAAGCAAAGCCACAGAAAGACAAGAAGATCAACAGATACATACCTATTTAGTTGCCCTGACAGAAAATGGTTCTATAGGCAACAGTATAAAACAAACTCTGGGAAGGGTTTCTCAAGAAACTAGTTATTTGCCAATTCTTAAGCTAACCACTTATATAAATAGCCTGGTTTAGAGAGTACTAGAATTGTAATTAAACAACAGTGTGGAAATACTGTTTCAGAAAGATTTAGCAGTAGCCATTGACATATGTTATTTCTCATTACAAATGAATTTTAATTATTCATATACAGAGGGAGGTAGGGAGGTGTGAGGAAACAAACAAAAAAGCAACAAAATAAACAACAGAAACAAACACACACAAAAAGCCAAACAAAAAAAAACCATACAAACAACCCACACAAGCTTCTAGAGGTTTTGTTTGGTTGCTTTCCTCCATTTGCTGGAAGATTTCCATGGCCTGGAGTTGTGAGGCCTCATCCCACAGATAGCAGAAGCAAGTAAGTTAGCACTGCAGTTGGGAATTGTTAGGATTAAGAACCTTGTTTAGTACTAGAAACTAAAGGAGTTAAAGCCATAGGCTGCTGACCAAGAGTAAGATTTTTTTATAAAACTAATGCTGCAAATACAAAACCATCAGATGTAAACAAGGAAGAAAAGAACCAAGGAAAAAACTCCCCAGGAATGAGGTTATTTCAGAAGGCAGCCAGCCCAATGACCAAGTAAGCCAGTAAGAAATTAAGAACCCTCTGACCAGAATGGAGAGAAGAATGGGTGGTACATTGCAGGAAACCTGCCTGTAGGAGTATAATATACACGATCTGCTGCAGTGATTCCCCTTTGGAGACACCCAGCTCAAGCTGCTCTGCACATCCAATAAACAAACTGCTCCTTTACTCAGCAGGTTGATAAACTCATCCTTGAGCAGGAACCTCCAGCCAAGCCCTGTTGAGGTGCCGCCCACATAATTCATACTACAGACTAGATGGCAGCTACGTAATGCCTGCAACAACTACTACACATACAACTTTCTTTCACAAAGAGTATTTTAAGTCATCAACTCAAACTTACTTTGTTGTTGTTATTCTGTTCATCTGCAAGTCGTTTCTTTAGCAGGAACCCCTGGAGTAAAGGAAAACAGAGTTAGTATCTTAGCTTACCTTATTGTTTTAATAACTATCTTTAAAAATGAAGTGTGTGGAAGCATTCTATCATTCCATTTTATCTTCAGCTAGAGAAAGAGGATAAGGGAAAGCTGAAGCTGTATCACACAGTATGCTGTTATGTAAAAACAGTAATAATAATGATAGCACTAGCCTATTTCTTTATGTATAAAAAAGCAGCATTAAGACCAAATAAAGTCTAAATCGAGTTCATTTTCAGTTACGTAAATTAAGCTTGTTACTTGTCTCGATAAATAGATAACAAAGCACTAGAACCTGCAAGAAGAGGTTTTAAACAGAACAAACAATTCTATTTTCATTCTATCTCTGAATCACTTCTTTCTAAGCATCTAACAAAATAAAATCTTAAAAGCAAGAATTACCTTTTCTTTGTTGCTAGAATACAATGACATGAATTACATTCCCATTCCAAGAAGAAAAAGAATATTTCCAAATATAAATAATGATACCATCAATACTGTAAGCATCAAATCTCTCCATAACTTTCCAAGCTTGGTATAGCAATTAATAAAAGTTAGAAAAACAAAAGGAAAACCTTAAGTTAATACCTCAGAACTAAAGTAATAAAAGCGTTGTGTTCTAGGAGACTGCCCCTTTTATCCTGATTAGATGCAGCAATCCCAGCTGCTGAAGTTCAGAGGGATCACCTGCTGTCACTTTAGCAGAAAAGGTGGGATGAGCTAGCACAGCTGAGAGCATTGACCCTTCAGGGGTTTCTTTTGGCTTCACTGGCTAATCAGAGGCTGCTGTTGCTTATGCCAGAGCAGTGCATTAATAAAGCAAACTACAGTCTAGTGATTATTTAAGCTGTCCTGCATGTAGAGGGAAACAGAGAAATGAACAAGAGAAATCAGAATTCTATGAAAGCTTTGGAAATATATCATACTAACAGCACATTGTTTCTCAGAGACCACCAGGGGATTTGTAAACTGATTTATAGCACTGAAAATTGTTACTAACCCCGTTTTTAAAATGTGCTGCAAGGCTATTGTCTAGTCTAAACTTGAAAAGTTTACCAACATAGCTGGGAGCTCAGAGGATGTAATGCTTTATTTTTGTAATGGGCTGTTCTGAAGACTCAAGATTAGATTAGGAATGGTCTCCTATTAGAGCAACTGATGCAATTAAAAACAAGAGAGAAT